GAGCCTTCATGGCGTAGTGGTCTGCATGCTCAGAGTGTAATTGAGAGGTCAGTGGTTCGATTCCCGGCGAAGGCACTGCTAATTTTTCATCTTTCCTGCTTCCAAAAAATACCTAATGACTCTACAGTGGCACCTGAACTAAAAGGGTGTTGGATGATGATTCTCCTCACCCAGAATTTGGCAACTGGGTCCCCTAAAAACCTCAGCCGCCCTTTAAAAGGGGGAGTATACAAGGTATTTCTCCCGCCTTCTTAACGAGCCTTCGTGGTGTAGTGGTCTGCATGCTCAGTGCATAATTGAGAGGTCCACAATTTGATTTCCGGCAAAGGCATTGCCAATTTTTCATCTTTCCTGCATTCAAAAAATACCTAATGACTCTAGAAGCTTCAGTCTCAATTTAGAGGCAGAACACTCTAAGGATCTTCTACCACAACTATCTTGAAAGGATTTTTGACTCGCCATGTATTTGATTTGCCCCTTGCTGCATACACAGTATACACTTACTGACATCCATGCCTTGCCTGGGATTCAAACCTGGGCTCTTTTGCATAGCAGTCAGTGCCACTAAGTACTATACTGGCTGGGTGGCACTCCACAGCTGTGGCAAATTTTTGAAATTCAGAAAGTCTACTTAGCTCCATTTTTGACCCAAAAAAGTTACTTCTAAGTGATACAGATGAATGCACATATTTTCTTGACCAAAGTGATGAAATGAACAATGAAACTTAAAAATAACTATTATTTCAATAATTCCCCCCCTCTCTCTGTATATACACATACATGCTATTCTTCCAAAATACCTTACCCAACCATTATTTTCTTGATGTTCCATAAAGAACATTTCATAGCAGACATCCAATTATGAAAATGTTTTAAATGATGCACATATTCATGTTTTAGTATTTTTAGTTAAAAAAATCAATTTAAATCAATTTTGTAAAAATTATGAAATCTAATTGGTATTCTATGTATTTCCCATATGACCATAATTTTCTGAGCTATTAAATTTTAATCCTTTGAACATTATGGATTTGGTCTCTAAATATAAAATATTTTTCAAAATATCATGAATAAATGATATTTTCTTGATTTTAATTCCAAAAATGACTTCTCGCTTTGCATCTTGACTCTTTCTCTAAATACATGTCCAATTTGAAGTTGGATACATCAGAGATTGGCAGAAAGTTTCATGTATAACAAATTGGAAAGCCCTCCATCTTCACAGAATTTTACATCCATAACCCTTGCAGAATTAATGCTGGAAATCACAAACAGGGGTCACATGCATATTGACGAAAGAAATGTTTGTATTTATATGTAGCTAAAAATAAAATATCAATTTTGAAAAACGCTTTTGAGGTTTTAAGTTACCAGATAGACATTTCTAAGCAGCTTATTGAGAAAATTATTCATCAATATAATTTTTTCAAAAAGCAGATCTTATTATTACTGTTCCAGAAAATGCTGACATGCTTCAGTATAGTCACATATGCAACTCATAACATTATTCACATAAATTAAAGATATTCCTAGTTTAATAAATTTTTGTGATTATTATGCTGTTATCACTTCTAGCAACAGTCCCTGCTAGATGGGACTTTTCTGTGAAACGAGATTCTGGTAGCACTGGTTTAAACAGGAAGATTCCTAGAAAAAAGAGCCTTGCTGAAAGCGAAGTCCCACTTAGCTATGGAAACGATGTAGCTGCTACACGGGATACTTTCAAATCTCACTGAAAACGTCTTGGTTGGAGTTCTGTCAATCAATCAGATGAATGGCTTTATTAGATTATGGCAAAGCACTTGAGGGCTATCTGCCTAAAGCGAGGCATGCCTTCATGGAGGACTTTCTAAGAGAAATTGGCTCGTATACACGTTACACATGGGGAAAAGCATGAAAATGCCCATGCAGCCAGCCCGTTCGCAGGATTCGAACCTCGGACCGAAATACCAGTGTTCAGCGACATTACCACTTGGCTCTGGTGGGCCTACCAATCAGATGAAAGTTTTGCTCCTGAAGGATCATGTGTTCCCAATCTGAGTGATAATTGATTACTGTTGGCATTCAAGTCTTTGTAGTAAGCGAAAATGGAACCTTAACTACGTGGGTTTCCTGGAAATGCATGGGGTCTGAGAATTGTCCCATTCGATGCTCAGTCCCGCGTAACCGAAACATAATGTGATCAGAAATTTAGATTATTTTTCTAAAGTAAGAAAACTGCATGAGTATATTAAAACTTCATTTTTAGCATTTGAAATTGCATGCGGAAATACTCTTTTGACATACCATATGCAAGAAAATTATAGAATGCTACACATTACTAAATCACAAAAGAATATCATTGACTGGCATTATAAGGGAAAAAAATCTTGAATTATTCTAATTTATGTATTAACTTTCAAAATGACATCAAAAATCACAAATTTTGAATTAGTTATCTTAGTCTATTGTTAGCATGCAGAAATCAAATTTTTAGAGTTTTACATTTTATGATGTAAATAAATTTTCTTGAATATAAGTATAGCGACCAGGGTATTGAACAAAAACTTAAATTTTGTATTTTTTACAAATGTCATTTCTTTAAATTTAAAAATACCAAAACATGAATATTTGCATCATTTAAAATAGTTTTGTAAACAGAAATACACGTCCCCAACCAATGATTGCAAAAATAAAGGCAAGGAAAGGTCTTTTAATATATATATTAAAAAATCCAAAAATAAATGAAAATTAATCCACACACAATCTGATTTCTCTCTATTAAAATTAATATCAGTTTAAAAAATACACCTAAAATATTGCTATTTTTAAACAATTACTTAAATTTTATGTATATGTATTATTATGTATCTACTTTATGTAAAATAATGTTAACATAGATGATTCAACTAGCTTTACAGCTTTAAAAAATCACAGAATCACTAAATTAAATTATTATATAATTAAATAACTACTTATCTTCAAGAAAAGAGAAATAGATGCCACATGAATAAATCACATGTTGAACACTTATTAACAGTTTGGGTACACATGTATTTGAAAATTTTTTTGCACTTGGAGCATATTTAATTTTGTGGGCAAGTAAGAACAGTAGATTTTATGCGAGAAATAATTTATTTTGTATTATTCATTATAAATACTACTACATAATATTGAAATAACTCTAGGCAGTTAGTATTAAAAGATACTTTTAAACAAATAAACTCTGGTTATAAAGCAAATTATCAATAATTTTGAAGCGTGGGATACTTTTCAAAACAGGTTGGTAAATGCAGTGGTACTTCGCATTCTTTGCACTGCCAGGTAGTATCCTTCCTAATTTGATGTTGATGTATCAGAATGTCATGTGCGTCTTTGCCCAAACAAATGCATGATGTATTGATATGCTCAATGTAGCCAAAGGGTTAAGAAAACTGAACAAATGACACAAGACTTAACCACTTTAAAGTGTACATTTTCAGACTTAAGTTGATTCAGCTTGAATAATTCAATTTTTTTTAAAACAGAACAGTTAGATGTTTTAAACTTAAAGAATGACTTTAAATTAAATACTAAACAAGTTTTAAAAAACCTGGTAATTTAGATACAACTAAGTGAATCAATGTAAAACAAATCTTCCAGACTGACATAATACTTAACTTTTAAAACCAGAATTTACAAAAACTACATTTAATCACCATCACGAATAATTCAAAAATGGTTAAAAAATGACACAGCAATTTGATTATGAGAGATCAATTTTCTGGAATCATCCCATTTCCATAAAATATATGCAAATTCTTTTAAATTAACACTAGTCTAAGGTAGAATTTTGTCTAACTTTAAAAGTGAAAGTGCCATACTTTTCTCACATTCATTTTATTAAAACAGAAAAATGTACACATTAAAAATATACATTAAAATTTTAAACAGCTTATTGTATAGTAAACTAAAGCACATATTATAAACTAAAAGAGTGATCTCCAGACAGATAAATTATTTTTTTACTTAAAATACACGTCACTTGAAAATCCTACGATTTTACAACACAGCAGTTTTGAATTATTGTTATTAGTAGTATGATTCTGAATATTATATTGCCTTTCAATTTTGAGCTAGATGTGATCCACACAGTTCATTAAGAAACAGTCTTAAGGTTTGTACACCAACAAGGTTCATCAGTCTGTTTCTGTGCACAGAATTTCAAACACTGTTTTCATTGCAGAATGTACTGATTCACGGAAGCATGCAGTTAGAAAGAGAAGACAAATTTTCTTTGCCCAATCTCTGAAAGTACCCAAATCTAACAATTTTTTTTCATCAAAAATTAGCTCAACAATATTCTGTAAGCCAGGTCTACTAAAAGACTAGTTTGCTGAATTGAGCAAAGCACACAAGATATAGACAGCAGCCTTAAGAGGAAATATGCTTTCAAGAACTTTCTACAAAATTAATTACACTTAATTCCATCATTAAATATTAAAAATAACGTTCAGCCTACCAGCTGCTTGGAGCCCAACCTAATATGAATTACTAGTGTTTCACATCTTTTGCCAATTATTTACCAATAGGCTAAATCACAAGCAAAAAGTAACCAATTCTTAATAGCTAAATTACAAATGGATTTTAGATGGATAGACTCTATTTCATAAAAGGTATTTAGACAAGAAACCTTGACAATACCCTCTAATAGGATTTTGTGATATTATGGTAGAAACACGAGTGGTTAACAGATATAAACAGATGATTCAACTTTTTAAAGTGAAATAAGACATTCCAAAATAAGTCTAGCTGCTTGGCATAAATATACCTTAAAAGAGAAATTCTTTATCTTTGTTTCAAAATGCATAACTTAAAAATTTTAGACTAGCTTAAGTCAAACCAAATGAATTTTTTAAAAACCTTTATATATATGAGGTTTAAACATTTAAACAGAAATATTTGTTATCATTGAAAGAGATATATAACACACAACAAAGTTAACAGCACACATAAATTAAAAGCTGATAAAAGATTATTACCTATTTATCCAAAGGATAAGTTGTTCATCATGTTCTTGTTTAAAAAGGTTATGATCTTCATGCTCATAAGTTACATATTCATCCTCTGAGCACATTTCCCATATTTTCTTGCGAACTTCTTCACAGAATGAAAGTGGAAGTGGAGTTCTGTGTATCAATGAAGCAGATACTCTTGATGCCATGCAGTATCTTCTAAACCATAGCCATTTATGATTTTCATGACAAGAAGGAATACTATCAAGTCCTAAATCACAAGCCAAAGCAACGAGTACCTATTAAATGACAAAGACTAATACTAAATTAAGGCACATACTTTATATATTCAGGATCAATGCCACTAATATGTAGTATACAAATTAAAATCAAAATTTATCACTTAACCATAAAAGGACACTTAACCTTAAAAAAATCACTATGCATAAGGTGCTTGCCAGCTCTAAGTACAGCATCTTCATATTCATATTGCCGCAGAAGTGTATCTGGTAAATCTCTCACAAGGCCTGTGAGAGAAGACCCAATTGATGGCTATGAAAACAACAGATATATATATATTTAAAATTATTATGAGATGTATATATGTAATTAGATTCACTGTGTTTAAATACTTATTAATAATATGCAAGCAGAAATAGAGACTGACTTATTGGTACAAAAAATAAGCAAGTCAGCACATAATTATAAAGTTATTTTCTAGAAAGTGTAAAAAGAAACTGAATGGTTATCCAAATGTGAATTCCCTTGAAGATAATACTGAAGTGTCAGAAAAACTGTCACAGATTTACTATTTCCTAGGTCCCTTATGGGAGTGCAAAACTGTAGATATACAGTAAGGTCTGGATTCCACAAGTATGCAACAGAAAAACTGCCATGTCCAGAATTCTCACTAAATAGTCAGTTGAAATCTTTTCATTCTCAATAACTTTTGTCACTTTTTCATTATCAATGGCGATATTTTCTGGAATCAGGTATACTACAGACTTCACCGCCCATTAAACAGACTGATTACTGGAGCATTGTCATCTCAACGAAGATTTGAGACTGTATATCTTCATTTAGCACTTATCTGGATTTCTTCCAAGTTCTATTAATTGGAAGATTTTGCGGTTCTTTTTCATTAAAGACCTCTTGGCATTTTTAAAAAATTAAATAGATTTTCACAGCTTGGGATTTATCGGAAGACAAATAATCGGCTATCCTACTCCTTTAAGAAGCATTCCACATAATGAAAGACCTTTCTTTCTTTTTTAAATTACCACTTTGCGAAATTAAAATGTCACTCGAAGCCAAAATAGCAGCATTTATGGATTCAAAACCATTCCATTAAATGATTAATGATTGAGGCATGGTCATCGCGATGTACGAATTCAGTTATGTCATCCTCATTAAACATTTCTTCTCTTACGCCATTAATCGGAATTTTTTTTTTTCCAATAACTGGAAAACCTTCAGATTAACAACTATCATCATCATCATGAAATTTAGTAGCTGGGTCTAAATTATGCTAAGCATTTTAAAAGAGTATATGCACATCCTATTAAATAGACATGGCCTATCATGATCTAGCAATGCCCCCCACAACATAATTTATTTTAAAATATTTCAAGAATTCCTGAATGGTCTTACTGCTGCATCAATTTTTAACAGGCTACTTTTTACATTTCAATGCACACAAAATTCTGATATCCATTAGCTGATTGACGGATGTACAGTTTCAGGGAAAAAGTGAAACAGAGACATTGTTTTAAAAAACTGTAATTTTGATAAGATTAATAATAGAGAGAACATAATTATAATCTGCTTCAAATCAGTAAGTTACGGAAGAGCATAATTTGCAATAATAGTTGAGCTTCGATTCAGTGGAATTTTAATTCCCTCTACCTTTTTTGCTAACAAAAGAGAACGCGTCTTTGCAAAATTCCATTCCAAATCAAGATGAGTCTTCAGGTTTTAATTCTTGTGTACAGAGCTACATAATATAAAAAATGCTGTTCCCCCACAATTATTCAAAGGAAGAAATGAAAAATGTAGATTGATAGCCCAGCGTTTAAATGCAAATTAATGCACATGTTTATTCAATATTACCATGGATAATGAAGTTTTTTTTGGGGGGGGAAGACTCAACTAATCGGGAGAAAAATCAATGTATGACACTTTTGCTTTTCCTTAAATACCATATTATCCATTCCTAAACTGTGCAAGGAATAGAAAAGTTACATCCGAAGTCCTGTTATTGAACATATGGATTTTGGACTTTGTGCTATATTGTGTAGGCAATGAACCCAATACTTCTTGCAATGCAGTCCCTAATTTAGTTGTGTTTGGAAATATAGGAGTTCTGTGTTCCTGACATGCTAGATGTGTTCAGTAATGTTAAGATTTAACAACAGGTGGTTATAACAAACTGCCAAACTCAGAAGAGTGCTCTGTTAAACATAATTTAGCATAGTTTTTCGGGCATTTTAGTGTAGATTATACCTAAATTTTATTCAAACTAGACTGACAGCATCACAGCATATGAAAATCAAGTCTTCTAATTCATTTCTCCAAATCGCTCAAGCAGTCTTTTGAACAAACAGATTTTTAGTGCCCCCATGTTGCTAATATACTTTACAATCACAAAAAACCATGCTTGATCTGGTACGTGTCAACCTGCACTAAACCAATAAAGTGGTTGGATTTCCTTCAAAGTACTAAAATGAATTAAATGAATAGAAAGTTAAAAAAAAAAGAGTGGAAATGCTACCTACTTTATTACCTAAACAAGTTTAGTAAAAGCTACAAAAAAAAAAAAAATGTAAGCGGAAATAGATAGTTAGTACAGTAAAGACAAAACCATTCAAAAAACTTATAGAATGCAGCTTATATTCCTTGAAAGTTTATGAAATTATGAATGTGCATAAGTTGGTGCCAGTGCTGGATTTCTGTAAAAGTTACACAAGCTATAGCTTACGGCCCCTACTTTCTAGCTGTCTCCCCCAAAAATTGTCCCATATCCCTTATAAAGGGCCCCATGTTATTCCAAATGTGCTTTACTAAGACCATTTCCTGTAATAAGAAATGTACAATTTCTGCAAGTTAAGAAAAAAGGAAACTAAATGCTACTAAAATTTATTAGAAAAAGAATGGAATTCATTATCTATGACACAGAATTGCTAGGCATTATAAGAGATGGTTAGTAGAATTGCAATGGAATACTCAACACAGTGTTTAATGAACTATACTAAATACAATACATTTTTGTATTTCTTGAACATATTTATAATACAATTAAACACTGTCAAATTAAAATAACTTACTTAGAAAGCTTCCTTGAACACAATACAGAGTCCAGTTACTAATCAAGTTAATTATACAACAGAAAACTTGCATACATTTATTAATTTATATTAAAACAATAAATTTTCAGTGTGGATCAGGAAATCAATCAAAGCGATAACATATGAAAAATGCTAATAAATAACTAATAGAGATTTGAGCATTTTACTAAGAAACCATAAAACCAACCTGAATTTCAGGTGACATATCTGATGAAGCAGTCATAATATTTGTAATATTTAGTTTACTGCCAAGCACAGAGGATTTCAGCTGACGCAGTTTATTAAGGGCCCACATTCTGTGAGATGGAGCTGAAAGAAGATTTATTTTCCTCATTTAAAAAGATTATTTTTTAAGATTTAAATGAACACAGTTATTGCTAAGGTACTTATTTCATTATGAACTGACAAACTTCATTTAAAGTAAAATTCATCTAAAGTCATTTAAAGTTTTATTTGACCCATTTTACAAATACAATGTTCTTAACAGACTAACTACTTTTCTTCGGCAGATTATTACATCACAAAAAAAAACAGCCAGAATAAGATGTCATACATGAGTAATTCTTTTAGAAATGTTTTATGAACTCTTACAAAATAACATAAAATTATTATTTTTTAACTATACCTTCAGAACCAAATTTTAGGTGTATGATGTGGATTTACTGTTGTATTCCCATATTAAGAGATTTACAGAAGCATTTCAACCAAATTTCACATTTAATAACATTTTTTAATATTTCAGTAAATATTTATGTAACTATTAATATTTATCACATATACACATATACTACACTCATTTACATATTAAAACACATATACTACACTCATTTACAATTTCAAATTTATTAAATATTAAATATATCAGAGTTTGCAGTTAAGACCATGGAATTTGCACAAGACCTTTATTTTCTCATGCCTAATACTATATATCTCTTCATACAGGATATGAGATATAAGTTGGGGTTGAAGAAAAGCTAGTGTTACAACTTTTTAGAGACACATAGGAACAATTAATAAAGTTTATAGTTATCCCTGACCAAAATGTAACTTTGGCTTTCAATGCTGTGTATTAGATTGCTCATGAATTTCTGAAATAACAAAGTATACTCATTAAGAATACAACCGTGAAGGTTCTGTAGAAGTTCTTTTCTTGTAGCTATCGTGGACACTGCAGTGACGAAAGTCGATATTCTAATGCATCCATACCTGTTCTATGTTATTTAAATACACATATTATGTGGACCACACCATCCTTTGTATTCCTTTGCCTTCAAGGTAATCAGTCATTAATGCAGTACAACGAGGATTATGCTCATCCTAATTATCCTCCATTATGAAGAACTTATTACCAATTGCATTCTTAAACAACCTTATGAAAGGATCAAGAGCCTTATTTCTGTGCATTTCAGCATTTATAGTTTCACTACTAAAAACGTGTATGTCAGTATGACCATTCAGAAAGATGTGCCCATTGAAGCCATAATTCCACCATCTCTGTAAAAATGCCTTTCAGAGATACTTTTAGGCTTATTGCATGCATTTTGCTCAAACCAGATGGTAAACATGTCAGAATTTCTCTCCAGACAGAAACAAGACTCATCAGTTAAGAGAATTCGATTACAATCTGTTGTACTCTAATGAAGATGATTTCAACATCACTGCAACTGCATGCATTTTGCAACCCAAGTTGGTGAGACACAATCTGTGGGCCATACATCCCTCTTTTAAGCAGCCCATCATTCATGATATACCTGGGCAATTCCATTTTTAAAACTGTAGTGAATTCACTTGGAAGACGGCTGAGATCAGATATCTACTTCTTTTAGCAAATGTTGGTAAATGATGGATCTGAGACTTGACCCGGCTGTCTGCATACATCATCAGCATCTTTAAACTGGTCCCAGATTCCTAACATGAAGATTTTGGCTACTTTTAAATCTTTAGCGACTTGTGTCAGTGTCTGTCCTGCTTTCATTCCCCTGATAGCACATCATTTTCAGAATCTGTCAAATGCTTTCTGAATGACAGGTTCCACCTTTCCCACATGAAAATTTCATCCATCTACACGTGTAAATCCTTGAAATAACAGCATCCTCTTAAAATCATACAAAAGAATTAAAAATTTGCATATTTTTGTGTAATGAAGTTGAATCCCACCAGACTATGTGGAATGTTTACCTTGACTTATCAACCAATGGCTTCTCACTGGATTTCACATAATAGCATGCCTTGTGAAGTGACAGCAGAAACTTGATCAACAGGAGTATTTTATATTTTATTTTATACTAGTAACATTTGACCTTTGACATAGCATAGAATGCCTAGGAAATGTGAGATATAGTAATCATTTCATACTCTGACTTCCTCAGCATTTGATATATTGCTCAGACATTCTGCATATGTTTGCTTTGATATACGGATGGTAATATACATAAAAGAAAAAGAAAACAACTACAAAGGAATTTAAAGAACAATGAAATAGTATTTACCAAGGGAACTTAATTGAGCACAAGAAGCTAGAGAGGCCGCTAATCTCGAAAGTGCATTAATATCTGCAGAGAAACTAATTTGTTTTTCTAAAAGAGACATAACTAAATCTATTGATGGTCCAGACATCACTGATCGATCAGATAATTCTTTATCAGGGCACTGAGGCATTACTGGATACACTGTAAATCGCCATCCCCAACCATTAACAGAACCATCGCTTATAAATTTCCACCTCAGTTCATTGCCTGGTATGTGAAGATCAGTGCACCATTCACCAGCTTCTCGACCTATATTAAAATTTTTTAAAAAGAATTGAGAGCTATGTATAATTCACATTAAAAATAACATACAATTAAAAAGGTGATGAAATCTCACCTGATTTTATTGCAACAATCTTTCCAGAGCCATCTAATATTGTTAATGGATCATGTCGTCTCTCAGTAGAGCACTGACGATCAAATTCCACTCTGAGATATACAGCACCTAAAATTATTTGTGATAATATTAAAAATGCACATGTCATGCATGAGTTAAAATGTACACAATGAAAATCAAAAATGAAACTGAGAAAAATTCAGCTACTTTGTCTGAAATTTGCATGATATCAGGGTTCGTAAACATTTCTGCACACGGAAATTAAGCACTTTTAAGGACTTTTAAGAAGCATTAGTGAAAAAAATTAGACTCATGAGCAAATGGGAACTGAATAAATTCAATTGAAAATATTATCTATGCCAGAATTTCACTTTTGTAATACCATCCTAAAAATAAAATAGATCCCTAAGTAGTATGCATTATTACTAAACATGAATTAATTAACATAATCGTTAATGAGTTTGAGAATAAAATAAACTTTATGCAATTTATCAAATAGCATTAAATATCTTACACTTATAATAGTTGGTAATATTTGAAAGAAGATAAGAGACATTTACGTTTTACTAACAATTAGCTTTATGCTAATTTTTTTTATGTCTCATTTTGTCCCACACTTGGTCAGTCTAGAGGTTTAGTAAATAGCACGTAGATTTTATGTCAAACGGCATACGTTAAAATGAGAAATAAGATCATAATCAGCATCATTCATAACAAAAGACTGAATGTTGTCACCACTGCTGCTTGTCAAGAGAAAGACCTGCTGATTAGAACAAACCTGAAAGGCCTGATGTAGACACGGTTGGAAAGTGTTGAAAGTTATTTAGGCTCTGTTTGATGCAGTTAGTGACGTAGCTTCAAGTACAGTTCCGGGGGGGGGGTTGTAACCCAGTTAATATAAGCCATTAAAGCACCAGAGGTGACAAGTTGTTTTGTATTATTTTAAGTCTCAGTAGATACAAAGAATAAGTTTAAACTTGAATTTTACATTTTTATATTTTATCTGTGACCACAGGAGTATTATGAAAGGCATAAGACTGAATGTCTTATTGCCTTTCATTAATACTCATATGTAGAGTTAATACTCTAATATGTAGAGATAATTTTTAAGGATAAGCAGTTAGTTATAAGTAATTACATTAGGTAGTTTGATAACCTTAGTCATTATAGATTTACATGATCACTATTAAATTATATATTTTTTAACAATATTTGTTAAAAAAAGCCCTATTAAAATCAAAATCTAATAAAATTTCACAGTGTAAAATATATGTAATTTATGACACAGATTCTTAAATGACATTTTGGCTAGTTTATATCGATTTCCTTCTCTTTAAGCATCTTTTCTAACAATTAGAGATTTGTCTCAATATGCAAACCAATGCTCTCGATAGTTTCTGCGTGCTTAATCTCCTAACTTATCAACCTCTCCACAATGTACCTATGACAGTTTAATTGATCTGGTAGAAGTTAAATTGTTCAAAATCCCACACAGACGTGAAGCTCATTATCGCTATGTCTGAAATTAACTACAATATCAGACAAAGGTTTAGATCAGCCTCTTATGTTCTAATGCTAACAAACTCAATCACAGCTCATGGTGACATAATTAAACAAGAACAGTCAAATTCAAACTAATAATGTGGGCTAGTGGTCAAAGATTATACAATTTAATTTTAATTTAATCTGGCTCAGTAACTCTATCATATGAGGAAACAGAAAATTATAGTAAAGGCTGAAATCATAAATAATTGGATAATTTACATAATAATAGCTGCACATATCTTTGAAGAATAATTTTCTTTATGTATTCAGTTTCTTCAACACGTTTCCCTTTCAGTTTAGAATTAAGGATTTTAATTAAGGATTTCTGGTATTCTAAAAAACACTAAATGCATTTAGATTGTACAGAAAAAGCGGCTAATTTTATTTTAGTAATATGAATATTCAGAAGAAATATGAAATATATATGGTAAAGGCCAGTTACAGAGCTGATGTGGTAGAATTTTTAGAATTAAATGACACACTAAACAACAAAATCTAGAAATGGCAAAACTTTTAGAATTTAGAGCTGGCATTGGAAGCATTTAGAAAGGTACTAGGCAACAGAATTTAGGATCCACAGAGATTGCATCAAGTGGGAAAATGCCTAGTGCCAGCTATGTGTATGGTACATTAAGACATATTAGATGAATCTTTTAAATTGTAAGTTTTCAGTCTTTTTATTAATAAAAAATCCCTTTCCATAATGGCTGCCCATGTGATAAGATTAGAAGTATTTTTGATATTTTCCATTCTTGTGTCTAGTGAAAAGTAGAGAAAATAAAGGGAAGATAAACATGTTAAGATTCTAGTATCAGAAGTACAAATTCGAAAACTTCATTCATTACTTCTCCAAAAAGTAAGAAATTCATTGCAAACTTTCTCTAAAATACATCCATTACGTGTTGATACCATGGAGACATTTTTCATTTTGTCACATATTTCTTGAATATTCTAGATTTGTGGGTCTATAAATCTTACCTTCAAATCCTTTTAAACTTTCCAAGCTGCAATGTATAAAATCCTAAAGAAAAATTATCCCTACCATTTCTGTAACAGCAAAAAGTCAGAAATAATTTTGGAAAAAAAAAAAAAAAGGGAAAAAGTATAAAATTCATTTTATAGAGGAACCTGATGCACATTCTGAGAATTTTGAATATTCTGAGACAATTACATGGGGAAATCTCTTAACAAGAAAAAATTAAAAACAAGACATTTTTAATTAATTACATAGCTAATTTTTCTTTTGCTAAGAGCTGTTTCATAAATTGTGCTTTATAGCATTATACCTTGTTTATTTTTCAGATTCAAAATATTGTATACTAAGTTGCCAAAACGAAACTTTATAATATGACACCGAAAAATAAAAATTTTTTATTTTAATGTTATTTTTTAAATATAATTTCATTATATTACCATTATTTTAATGAAGTTTATCAATGTTACGATGTTTAAAAAACATCGTCAAAAAATCCTCATCTCGGAATTAAAAAGTTTCTATAGAAACTAAGCTTAAAATCTCTAAAATGTTGAAAAGTCGCCAAATTTAGAACCACTTAATAAAAGAATTAACAACCCCAAAAGCAAAAAGTTAAGAGCTCTTTATTAGAAAAAATGAATTTCAAAATGCTTATACAGTCAAAAGTCGTTAATTTGGACACCCATAATCCGGACCTCAAAGCTACAAACTTTCTGCGCACGCGCCGCATCGACGCATGCGCGTAAGACCTTTACGGCTGCGAATATGTTTGTGCGTGTGCGCAAAATACGTTTACAAGTGCGCGTTTAATGTATGACGGACGGTATATCTGTCTATCAATTTCACGCTGCTCTGCGGCAGGAGGGGGGACTCCGCAGCGCGCAATGAATTGAAAGTTGATCTGTCAGCACTATCCTCATCTTCAGGGCAGATGTTTTTATTTTATTTGGCTTACAATTCCTTACTAAATGTAGTATTTCATCTCGATGTACTCCGTCTTTGATATGATTTAAATCAAATTCCTTGTCATTATAATTCGCTTCCGATAGTGAAGAAAGTGACACAGAGGTTATTGAAAACGAAAAAAGTTCGATTGACAAATTAGTCGGTATTCTCGACACACTAATTATAGGACTTGAACAGCAGAAACTGAACAAGAAAGTATGTCTGTTTATAGAATTAAAGAGAAAGTATTATCACATAAAACGAAGCAACTTAAACAACTTACATTGAAAGAAATGTTTAATAAAGTAAACAAATAAATATTAAGCTTTTTTTTTTTTTTTTGTAAATTTTGATACCCTTTAGATCATAATTGTTCTTTATTTCATAAATTATGGTTTCATATTTTTAATTTTATAATTTCTGCATGCCATCTTACCAGATTTAAACTGATGATCTATAATCCGGAATCGCCGAAGTCCCGACGAGTCCGGATTAATGACTTTTGACTGTATTTCACTTCTTGCTTAGAAACTCGTATCCCATTATTTATATTAGAAATAGAAACAAATTATAACTCATGAACCCATTCAAAAGATAACCATATATACAGCAGTAAATTGCCAAAAATATTCCTCCAAAATGCTAATTTACACTCAAAATGGCAGTCATAAAAAGAGACAGAAATTTCAGATGATTAAAATTAAGGACCTTCTGCTGATTTTGGCCAAAATTAAGGACTTTTAAGGACCAAAAATCGATTCCAAAAAATCTAAGGACTTTTAAGGACTCTTAAGGACCGTACAAACCCTGGATACACAGACCATCATAGAGTGCAGCACTCATGTTAGCGGTAATGAGAAACACTTCTCATAAATTGTACAAAAGGAAGTCACACAGAGCTGGTATAAAGTACTGCAACTGCATTTAGTTGCAAATGTTGCTCCTCACAGAATTCAGTTTGCTCTCATCAAAAACATGGCAGCTGCAATCGTGCTTCAAGCTTTGATCCAGAAAGGATTGTCAGATTTACAAGCGCTTTTTTTACTGCGACATATATGCTCATATTAGATATAAGGTCACAATGATGCGAACGTGGCTTCACTGTTTTGAGCAGGGAGGGAACAACTGATATGGCAGATCATTTAGTTTTAAATAAAGGTTATCTGCCTGATGCTTCATTATAGCTTTGACCTATGTCATCCTAGGAGATGGAGTTTGAAAGTTTGATGTAACATGCTAACATATCAAAAATATTTTTGTAAGGTATGCTTTAAATAACTTGTGATTTGTATGTTTTTTCTTTCTTATTATTTCCATTTCTTCCATCAGTCTAATCAGAATGCAGATTAGGTGAAGTTTGAATAGCGATCAAATGTGCAATTTAAGCAGTTTCACTTGTGAGCCATCCACTTGTTGCTGAGCTAGTTTGATAAATACTTTTTTACTCCTAAAGCTTATGTTTAGAGGTCCAAATAGTTGCAAATGGGGAGCAAGCATATTAACCCTTTGACATGCGTGATATTATTTTTATAATTTTTTTTTAAACTACAAGCGCTAGATATTGAATAATATGATCCTAGAGACAAATAATATATGAATTAAAAAAAATCTGCTTTTGCTCATTGTTCTGTGGGTGGTGGTT